TGCGCCTGTAATCCCAGCTACTCAGCAGGCTGAGGCAGGAGAATTGCTTGAACCCAGGAGGCAAAGGTTGCAGTGAGCCGAGATTGCGCCACTGCACTCCAGTCTGGCGCCTGGCGATGGAGCGAGACTCCGTCTCAAAAAAAAAAACAACAAAACATATTTTATATGATATCCCACTCTAATACAAAGAATAAAATTTAAAATGTAATTATTAAAGTAATTTGTAGTTCCAGATAAAATGCTCAGGTTCCCCTATCTGTAGAATCACTGGGATTATGACACCTACGAGTGTAGACCTACTGATGCCTACTTCACCTAAACCACACAATGGTTTCTCCCTAAGTCCAAGAACTCTACCTCATTTGCTTTTATTTTTTAATTAAAATTTTATTTTAAGATAATTATAGATAAACAAGCTTTTGCAAGAGTAATACAGCTAAATCTCCTGCACCTTTTACCCAGTTTCTGGGAACATCTTGTAGAACTATAGTAAAATAATACACCAGGATTGACATCGATACAATCAAGGTACAGAACATTTCCATTACCACGAGAATCCCTTATATTGCTCTTTTATAGGAATTTTCACTTCCTTCCCATCCCACTGAGTCCTTAATCTCTACCAACTACTAATCTGTGTCCCATGTCTATAATTCTGTTACCTCAAGAATGTTATATGAATGAAATCTTACCATAGGTAACCTTTCAGTATTGGCTTTTTGTAAATCCAGTGTAATTCTCTGGAGATTTCTTCAGGTCTGCTGCATGAATTGTAACCACTCATCTGTTTAAGAACATCTGCTTCTTTGTTTCCAATGTTGGATTATAATGAATAAGGCTGTATCATGAAGAAATTTTTGCTTGAAAGTAAATTTTCATTTCTCTGGGATAAATGCCCCAAGAGTACAATTGCTGGTAAAAACTTACCAAGTTTTACTTTTATGGATCATGCTTTTGGTATAAACTCTAGGAACTCTTTGCCTAGTCCTGTATTCTGCAGATTTGTTTCTCTTACTTTTTGGTAATTATTTTATGCTTACATTGAAATTTGTGATCCTTTTGATTTAATTTTTCCAAAAGGTGTAAGAGATACAGTAGCTGGCATATAATATAGATACTTAGCTTCTTTCCTATTAGTTCCAAACCAAATATCAGAAACCATTTAAAAACAAACCAAGCACAAAACTGCACCTTTCTTTTCCTAAATATTATGTTCTCAGTTTTACATAAATTTGTTATATATACAACCTGGTAAGATATCTGCGGTATGTAGGAAATACATGCGAAAGAAACAAAGCTCGTAAAGAACCAGCTGCAACTGCCACTATATCTGTAGGTAGAAAATAGTTTCTTTTCCTTCTCACCTCATCAATTTGATAGTAAAAAGCTCTGGTAAAAACTCCAATTGACTGGGTAAGTTTGATCTTATTCAAACATCAACAGAACTGTCTGATGCCCAACTAAAATTGATCAAGACATTCAATACCAAAATACCGCGGTTACAAATATTACCGCACTCATCCAAACCTGTTTCTGAATAAGGTAACTGTGATTGCTGGTGAAGTATTCCATTTCACCTTAGCTGTACTGGCTTCCTTGCTCTTCCTCCCAATTTCCAAGTATGCTAGAGGAGGATCAGGGCCTTTGCCCAGGCCAGATCTTCCTCCCTCCCACCACGTGGCTCTATCCTTTATCCCCTTCAGGTGTTATTCAAATGCCATCTTCTCAGGAAGGCCTTGTATGATTAGTTTATTGAAATCATTCCATTCAACTCCTATGTCTAATAATATTTAGTCTCCTTTCCTGCTTCATTTTTCTTCTGGGCTCCTAGCACCTTCTAACGTGAAAAATGTACGTGTGACATATTTGGCTAGACTTCATCCATTAGCATGTAAACTCCAGGAAGGCCTTTATTTTACTGCAGTGTTTTTTGCACCTAGAACACTATTGGTATATGTCAGTCACTTAAATATTTGTTGAATGAATGATGTAGAGTGGGTTCAAAAAGCCATTGGAGAATGTTATGGCTTGATTGGTTTGAATTGTAATACTTTAAATGAAAGATCAATGGAAACATTAATAGGAAAGATCTTAACATCGATTTTCTTCCAGGAGAATTTAAACATAAACACATATAAATAGATAAGGATATGCTTTACAAATTCTCCCATTCCCTTCTCTAAACCTCAACCCACTCTCTCTGTTACCGTCCCCTAAAAAAATGAGAGACTAAAGAAAAAGCAAACACACTGTGTTCATGGGCCTTTTTCTCTCATCCACTGCTCAGATCCTAAATTTTAAGAGTCTTTCTTGAATCATCTTTTTCTCATAGCTTCCCATTGTGTCCAGGGCTATTATCCCTTGAAGCCACAATTAGCTCTTGCCTAAAATATGGCCAATTGTCTTCTAACTGGTTTCCCTGCTTCCAAATTTGACCTGTCACAATCTTTATTTCCAAATCAGCTACAATGCAATGGTCTGAATTGCCTCCTCACTAAATTCATATGGTGAAACCCTAACCCCTAATGTGACTGAAATAGGGACTATATGGAAGTAACTCAGGTTTAATGAGGTCACAGGGGGAGGGCCCTGATCTGATAGGGCCCTTATGAGAAGAGACACCAAAGAGGTTGTTGTCTCTCCACCTTGTGAGGACACAAGGAGAAGGTGGCTGTCTGCAAGCCAGGAAGAAAGCCCTCACCAGATTCTGACCATATTGGCATGCTCACCTTGGTCTTCTAGCTTCCACAACCATGAGAAAATAAATATGTGTTGTTTAAGCCACCCAGTATGTAGCATTTTGTTGTGGAAGCCCAAGCCAACTAATATGCTGAGAAATTCTTTTAAAAACCTAAGTCACACCATGACAATCTTCTGAGTAGAACCCTCCAATGTTGCTCCAGTCTTCTCAGAGTAATAGTCAAGAGTTCTAATACTTGCCTTCAGGTGGCTTTAGTTTCTGGCTCTTTTCCTTTCTAGCCCCATTTCCTACTAGGTTCCCCACACATCATTCCTTTCAATCACACTGGCCAATTTCTGAGTTCTTGAACCCACCAGGCATGTTTCCAACTCATGGGCCTGTACTAGCTGCTCTTTCTAAAATAGCGTTCATTGATACTGGTATGGTTCACTCCTCACTTCCTTCAAACCTTTGCTAGAAGAATGTCATCTTTTCTGTAAGCATTGCAAACAACACTCCTCACCTTCCCCCACCCCCACCAAATACACTGCACTCATGATCTTCACTTCTCTAGCTGATTTTTCTCCCCTTGTGCATATCCCCTTCTAACACATCATATAATTTACTGCTATGATTATATTTTATGATCTGTCTCCCTGTTAGAGTGCAAGCTTTTGTCTGCTTGGATCACTAAGTATCCTGAGCACTTAGGTCACTGCCTAACATATAAAAGGCACTCAATGAAATTCATTAAGTAAAACTGACTGAGAGGCCAGCAGCCTGGGTTCCAGTCCCAATACTGCCCCTACCATGCTGTGTAAACTTCAGCTTTATGTCTTTTTCCTTGTTTTGAATATAAAAGTTTTGGATCATATTAGAAAGAAAGTCTTCTTTCCATGGCTCTGACTTGGTCCTTTCTCATCAGTAGGCTGTTTTGCTCATTGCTAGCCTTACCCCACCTTTCCTATGGCCCAGACTACTCCATCCTTCACTAAGTATACTCTTTCCCACAGCCTCCTTCCTTGGTTCATAATATTGATAATCAGTAAATATTGAATCAATGGAAGTTATTTTGATTCACTCACAAAAAAACATAAAGGCACTTTCTGACAGGATTATGTCCTTTGGTGTTAATTGGTCTCTAGCTCTAATTTCTAATCCTAAAATTTATGCTGTAATACTGTGAGAATTTAAAGAATATTGACCTAGGATTTCTATGATACATTCTCAAACAGCATATTTATTACTTATTTACAGAAAAAAAAACTGTCATTTTGACTTCGATAACATTGAGCACCTCTTTTATTCTTTAAATATTGAATATCAGTTTAAAGATCTCAAGTCATTATGTCCTTCTTTTGTTAATAATATCAAAAGGCCATCCTGACCAACATGGTGAAAGCCCATCTCTACTAAAAAATACAAAAATTAGCTGGGTGTGATGGTGCACACCTGTAGTCCCAGTTACCCGTGAGGCTGAGGCAGGAGAATTGCTTGAACCCAGGAGGCAGAGATTGCAGTGAGCCGAGATAGTGCCACTGCACTCCAGCCTGGCGCCTGGTGACAGAGTGAGACTCTGTCTCAAAAATAATAATAATAATAATATCGAAAGGATAGTTTAGATCTGCTAGCAACTTCTCACAATACTTCTGCAATGAAACTGAAATATTTTAATTCTAAAGTTCAGTTTAATAGACTTGCAATTTCAAAGTTAAACTGTATCATCAGTTTGGGTTTTAATGCCCTAAAAAATTATCACAATAAATCCAAATTAATATTCTAGTTCCTAATTATAGAAGAGTGAATCGATACACTAGATTACCTGAAATAAGATGAGATTTTGGTGATACTTTTTAGCAGATATTTAGTGAGCATCCATTATGCATGGGTATTGATTTGTTGCTGAAGATTAAAAATGAAACCAGTCCCTTATTTATTTACTTTTTGAGACAGACTACTGCCCTGTTGCCCAGGCTAGAGTGCAATGGCAGAGTCTCGGTTCACTGCAACCTCTGCCTCCCAAGTTCAAGCTATTCTCCTACCTCAGCCTCCCGAGTACCTGGGATTACACACACCTGCCACCACCAGCTAGTTTTTTACATTTTTAGTAGAGATGGCGTTTCACTATGTTGGCCAGGCTGGTCTTGAACTCCTGACCTCAGGCAATCCACCCGCCTCAGCCTCCCAAAGTGCTGGGATTACAGGCGTGAACCACCACTGGGGCTATGCCAGGGCTCACAGATTACTAAAAACAACTCACGTTGAATTTCTAATGGGTTTTAATAGAAGGCAAAATTTAAACACAATTCTTTAATAGTTTTATTTCCCTTTTCTTTCTTTCCCAGTTAAATCAAAGTAAAAATACATCCTTTTTCAAAATAAATATCATTAAACAAGTTATCTGTATTTAGGACAGATAAATATGTGGAATTATTTTCCCAAAGATTAGTAGTAACTCACACACGAGCGATGCTTGCATAATTTTTAAATATAAGTATACTGAAAAAACATGCTAGTACTGTATTTTCAAAAGTAAGTTTCTATTCCTAGAACTAAAACACAACACAATTGTTGTGAGATACATAAATGAAGCCAATACTTTTAACCAAGGACTTGCCATTTTCCTGCAGGATGTTCCTGGCAAGGGAGGTTGCCCTAGTCCTACAAGCAACCTCCTATAAGCAACCTAGGTGGCAGCATCTCCTCCCAGCGGAAGACCTAAACAGACAAGTTATTCCTTCCATCTACAAACGCTGGAAACCACGACTGGAAAGGTAATATGATTGGCTAAGCCATGAATGACGCAAGATAACCCACGCCCACTGAGAATTGGCCTTTTTTAGCCAGGCTCAGATCCCGCTTTCCGATTGGTCCCTACGGCAAATAGTGCAGGGACAATTGCTTAAGTTGACCTCTGGGTCCGGAACAGCGGACAAAAATGGCGGCGGCCATGTGTTGGAGGCCTTTGCTCCGCAATCCGAGGCTTTCATTGCACACCGCGGCTGATGCCGCCACTGCTGCAGAAACGACCTGCCAAGATGTCGCGGCGACCCCTGTCGCGCGGTACCCGCCGATTGTGGCCTCCCTAACAGCCCACAGCAAGGCGGCACGGCAGCGGCGGATCGAGCGCTGGCAGGCGAAGGTGCACGCTGCAGAGTCGGTAGACGAAAAGCTGGAAATCCTCACCAAGATGCAGTTCATGAAGTACGTGGTTTACCCACAAACCTTCGCGCTGAATGCTGACCGCTGGTACCAGTACTTCACCAAGACGGTGTTCCTGTCTGGTCTGCCGCCGGCCCCCGCGGAGCCCGAGCCCGAGCCCGCATTGGACCTCGCGGCGCTGCGTGCGGCCGCCTGCGACTGCCTGCTGCAGGAGCACTTTTACCTGCGGCGCAAGCGGCGCGTATTCCGCCACCAGGAGAGGGGCGTTATAATTTCGCCCTTCCTGGATCAGTTGGTGGCAACCCTCGTGGGCCTTCTCAGCCCACACAACCCGGTCCTGGCCGCCGCCACCCTCGGTGAGCCTTGGGTCCCCCAGGGCGGAAGGGAGAGGTGGGGATTGTACTGCGTTACTCCGCTGCAGTTTTACCCCTCTTCATTTCTTTCTCTCTGCTTCATTCATGTTTTCCTAGTCCTTTCTCTCCTGTTTGGGGTGGCTTGGTTTCGTTACAGTCACTGCGTTAGAAATTTGGAGACTGAGTGCTTGCGGCTGCGCTAACACCAACCAGCTCTTCAGCCCATTTTATTCTACTAAGACTATTACTTAACTTACCTATATCATAGGTTTTAATACAAGGCAAAATTTAAACACATTCTTTAATAGTTGTGTTTCCCTTTTTTCTTACCTAGTTAAATCCAAGTAAAAATACACCCGCTTTCAAAATAAATATCATTAAACAAATTATCTGTATTTAGCACAGATAAATATATGGAATTATTTTCCCAAAGATTAGTAGTAGCTCACACATGAGTGATGCTTGCATAATTTTTAAATATAATCACGTATACTGAAAAACATGCTAGTACTGTATTTTCAAAAGTAAGTTTCTATTTCTAGAACTAAAACACAAAAGCAGTGTTGTGAGATACATAAATGAATCCAATACATAGGCCAGTTAAGTAATAGTCTTGGTAGAATAAAATGTTGCGGGTGGATCTCTTGCCTTTCACGATTCCTTTTTGAAGACATCCTGAGCTGTCCAGGATTCCAGTCCTTGACTCTACTTGGTGAGTGTCCAGCTAAATGGAAGGGCAGTGGTGATGAAGAGAAGCGGCACTTAGAGAATGGGACAGGCCAGCTTTCCTTTTGGCTATTCCACCAAAAAGCTGTGTGACCATGTGTCACATGGTTGAGTAGTAACTTCTTTTTAGCTTAATTTTTCGTGTTTTCAAGATGAGAATTACGGGAATAGTTTTTCGTTGTAGAATTGTGAAGATACAATGAAGTATTAACTAAGATAACCTAACGTTTACTCAGTATTCATGTGCTAGGCCCGGTTCTTAATTTTATATCTGCCAATTTATTAGTCCTCACAATAACCATTCATTATAGGCAGCAATGTTTTGCAAATGAAAAAAGACGAAACAAACTAAGGCATAGAAACGTTAACTCTGTGTCTGCCTGAGACCCTATAGCTAATAGATTGGGGAGGTCAAACTTCAAACCCCCATTTCAAGTTCCTAGTAAACATCAGCAGCTTCTATGTAACTGTTCAGGGCGGACATGAAAAATAATTAACATATAGAGAATTTTAAAAATCATTGTTTCTGACACGTTTGTCATTTTATATCTTCTACCAAGTGGATGTCTTACTGAATATTTATGAAGTCTTAGTTAATATTACTTAATATTTATGTAATGTTAGGACTATAGATGTGTGCTCAGCCCAGCCTTGTTGTGTGCTTGTTTTTTTGCCTTCTTCAGTTGAGAAAGAAGTGATCTTGAGGAAAGCATCATGGACTTTGATTACTCCTGATTGGTGGCCTAGAAAAACTATTTAACTTTGTCAAGACCCAGATTCCTCTTATATAAAATGGAGATGATGAAAACTATATGTACTTTTTAGAGTTATTGTGAAAATTAAATTGGTAGTTCATAAAACAGCCCTATTTTTATTTATGATGAATGATATTCTTGCTAGTCTTATTTTGTTTATTTGCTCCCAGTGAGGAACCTCTTTGGTTAATGTTCAGTGTAATGATGGCACAAGTAGACAATAAATGTATGAATGTTATATTTAAGGCATAATAGTTAAATTATCACATAACCCAGTCTCTTACCTCAATCATTCTTATCTGTTGCTCAGTTAGTACTCTTCAGTGTTCTAATAGCCAAATGTATTTAGAGATCAGATGAAAAAAAATCTTGAATATATTTTTGATAGACTATAAACGCCCAGTTCATTTTTACTGGGTGCGTGGTGAAGAAATTATTCCTTGTGGTCATCGAAAAGGTCGAATTGATTCCTTGCGATACCAGATAGATGATAAACCAAACAACCAGATTCGAATATCCAAGCAACTACCAGAGGTAAAGATTTATTGCGTTTATGTATCTATTGATATCTCATGTAGGGTATATCGCAGGCAAATTAAGTAATAGTAGAATAAAATGTTTTAGGTGAATCTCTTGCCTTTCAGTTTCCTTTTTGAAGACATCATGTCTGAAAGTCATTTTAGCTTTTTAATCTGCTATGGTGTACTCTACCAAGGTCAAATAATATTTTAACAATAACGAGTTAAGGCATCATTTTGCAGAACAATACAGATCTATATGTTTCTCTTAATACGAAAATTCTGAAATAGTTTATGACTATAATTTAGTAAAGTATACTAGCTAGTCATCAATCAGGGAAGTTTAACATTTATCAGCTGGGTCATTTTACATATTTGCAGTTCTTTTGGAGAAAAACAAGTGTATTTTGAGTATTGTCTATGCTTTCATGTCAGAGGTTGTCACACTTTTACTGTAAAGATCTGGATAGTTAATATTTTAGGCTGTGCAGGCCGTAAGTCTCTTGCAGTTTTCAGCTCTGCTCTTACAGTGTAAAGTGCTATATACAATATATAAATGAATATGTATGGGTAAGATTTTTAAATGTAATGAGTGTGAGTAAAATACATACTAATATTGCTGTGAATTTAGTATGTCTTTTCTTTTTCTTTAAGTTTGTGCCATTGGATTATTCTGTTCCTATAGAAATCCCCACTATAAAATGTAAGCCCGATAAACTTCCATTATTCAAACGGCAGTATGAAAACCACATATTTGTTGGTAAGTTTCTCTTTTGACATATTGTACCATAAATGTGTTCAAAGTGTCCTATACAAATTTGGAGTATTGGCTACAATGAGGAATTAATTCTTGATGATGGAGAGGTGAGCAATACAGTCCATCTCAGGTTATTGCAACATGCATAAACATTGGAAAGAAAATGTTTCGGTTCATTATTTGAAATTTTACTTGTTTCCACCAAATAGCAGTATTTAACTTTAGAAAAGGCTTTGTTGACTTATTACATAGAAAATTAATTTGTGTTTTTTTGAAAGTAAAAACCTTTAGAACTGGACTTGAGACAGCAGTTGGCTTTTTAAGGTGTCGTATTTGTACCATGTATGGTGGTAAAATCAGGAATTCACAAATTCATAATGCCTGATGTCTGCCCTCCCTCATGCAGCTTATTCTTTTGCCATTTTTTCTTCCTTTGTTCATTCCTACCCAATGTGAAGAATTCTTAAGAAGGTTTTATGCTAGTCCTGGAGACCTATTTTATCAGCCTCTTTTCAGTCACTGTGGTCTTCGGGAGTGACCTGCAGGGAACTTTGTTGAAAAGACTTTACCACTAAAATCAAGAATCTCAGCATTTCATGAAATGTTGCTACTTATTATTTTTACTTAGGAAAGTAGTATAAAAATCATTTTTTAAAATTAGGAGCAAAGTGTGTATTATGTATTTAAAGTCTTGAAGTGGTTGTATCCTCTTGTTAATATGACAAGGAGACAACCAAAGCTAATGATGATTAAGGGATCTGAGAAAACAAGTAATAGACATTTAACTTTTCTATATATTCTTTCAACTTCTTCCATGTTATGATGGGCTTTATGACAGCTAACAGATTGAGGAATTATGCTTTCATGTGAAATTTAACTTTATTATAATCCATAAGATATATAAGTAAACTAATATTCCCACTTATGTATTTAGAGTACTGAGAATATGATGTATAAAGAAGGGAAAAAAGGGCTCAGATATTAAAACATGTGCTCTAGATGTTCTGCATGTTTGTTTCATCTGAAATGTTTTTATTTTGCTCTTCAGGCTCAAAAACTGCCGATCCTTGCTGTTATGGTCACACCCAGTTTCATCTGTTACCTGACAAATTAAGAAGGGAAAGGCTTTTGAGACAAAACTGTGCTGATCAGATAGAAGTTGTTTTTAGAGCTAATGCTATTGCAAGCCTTTTTGCTTGGACTGGAGCACAAGCTATGTATCAAGGTAAGAACTAATTTTACAGCATTTTCTTTGAAGGTATTTGTAACATTCTAAGAATTTAATAGTTAAAATTGTTTTCTTTGGGTTAAAACGTAGGTTGAATCTTAATATTTTGAAAGCTTTTGCATTGGCACAAAGTATAGTTGTTTTAAAATTTGTATTTAAATACTATAACAGTTTAAATCTGACACTGAGGTAATTGACTATCTCTTGTGTGAATGTACTTTTGCACGCATTTCAGAGACTGTAGCCAACCAAGTCAACCCTTCCTAGATGATAATGGCTTTCTGCAGGTAGAAAAGGAAATTATTTTGTGGATTAAATATTTATATGAAATCAATGGCTATCCTATATAATTTATTTAAAGGTCATATCCAGATTTGGATTGGGAGATTGTTCATTCATTCAGTAAACAGTGACTGCTTTTTTATATGCCATACACTGTATCAGTTTAAGATGCAGTGTTGAGTGAAACAGATCCTGCTTTCTTAGAACTTACAGTGGGAGGGTCAAAGATAAGAAGCATGTAATGTTTATAAGTCGTGGTAATACTATGGGGAAAATAGTGTAAAAGTAGAATGATTTATAGGGGGCAGGTATAAATGAAGTATGGAGAAGAACCTAGTTTTGAAAAATCATTCAGGGAAGGTCTCTAAAAATGACTTAAGACCTGAATGGTAAGGAGCTGCCTATGCACAAGTCTGGTAGAAGACACTTCCAGGCAAAAGGAACAGCAAGTAAAAGTCCCTGAGTTGGGAACAGGCTTTATTTGGGAACAACATGATGAAAGGTAATGAAGAGTGGGACAAGGAGAACGATGAAGAAGGAGATAGAGGAACCCAGAGGCTATATTTTACAGGACTATTAGAGCTCATTGTGGGGCATTTGGATTTTATTCTAAAATCTGAAGTAATGTAATACAAAGTAGATCAACACTACGTGAATATTCAGGAGGAATTTTACTACATATTTGATTACTAGGCTCATCTTTTTTTTTAAACATATATACTTATTTTAACCTTATACTCAAAATTGACTTAGATTTCTATAATAGAATTGAATAGAAAAAGTGGGAGTAGGAGTAGACAGTAAGACAGAGTGAGAAGTAACTTTCTTAAAGACGTTAGAATGGCACTGTTTATTTTTGAAAGATAAAGTACTTCTTTTTACAATAAAATTAATTCCATATATTAACAGTATTATTCATTGCTATTTCCATTAAAGATGATATAAAATATGTGTGGAAAAATAAAAATACTGCTTGGCCTTGGTAGTTGGGTAATCATAGTACCAGATATAGAAGGCATTTGTGTAGATAGAGCTTGCTGCTCTTAGATGAAGTAAGTTAAGGCTGACGTTGAAAAAGATTAATCATGAGTTTGAGGATACTAGAAGGGAGGAAAATATTATTTGTGCAGAAATGAAATATAGGGTTAGAATGGAGATGATAAGGAAACTTTGAGGTCTTCAGAAATTTGGTTACATAAGGTATCTAAGTTGTGGGAGGTATGTGATACCCTCTGATGTCAAATGTGTTTGTTGTGTTTGGGTAAAATATATTCCGTGTGTAAATTTGAGCATAACTTTTTCTTACAGGATTCTGGAGTGAAGCAGATGTTACTCGACCTTTTGTCTCCCACGGTGTGATCACAGATGGAAAGTACTTTTCCTTTTTCTGCTACCAGTTAAATACTTTGGCACTGACTAAACAAGCTGATCAAAATAACCCTCGTAAAAATATATGTTGGGGGACACAAAGTAAGCCTCTTTATGAAACAATTGAGGATAATGATGTGAAAGGTTTTAATGATGATGTTCTGCTTCAGATAGTTCACTTTCTACTGAACAGACCAAAAGAAGAAAAATCACAGCTGTTGAAAAACTAAAAAACCCGTTTGATTGAGAACTCTGGGAATATTTAAATGTCACTAAAGGAACAATAATGATGAGATCTGTAACTGTCAAATATTAAATACATTGATTTTTGGGGCAAATATTTCTTATGTCGACCTGTTATTAGACCTCTTATTCTACTCAAATTCATCACTGAAAGATTGAATTTTAGTTACCTTTTGTTGATTTCAAAATAATTGTATTTATGTATTGCTGATAAGGCAAATTGAGTTATTGAGCTATTAAATGCAGATTTTAATATAAAAGCAGAAATTCCAAATAAAATGTTAACATACTGAGTTCAATAATTAAAAGAATCCACTACAGCCAGGTGCAGTGGCTCAAGCCTCTAATCCCAACACTTTGGGAGGCTAAGGTGAATGGATCACTTGAGTCAAGGAGTTCAAGCCCAGCCTGGGCAACATGGCAAAACCACATCTCTATTAAAAATACAAAAATTAGCCTGGCCTGGTAGTGTGTGCCCATAATCCCAGCTACTCTGGAGGCTGAGGCACAAGAAGTGTTGGAACAAGAGAGGCAGAGTTTGCGGAGTAGCGAGACTGTGCCACTGCATTCCAGCCTGGGTGACAGAGTAAGACTCTGTCTCAAACAAACGAACCCACTACAGCAGGGTAGAATTAATCAGTTCAGTAATGGACTAATGTTAGGAAGTAATGCTAATAAAGAACATAGTTGTTCAAAGGAGAAAAATAAGGCTTTATCAAATTCTCAATCTTGGTTTTAAAAGAAAAGAAAAAAGATATTAAGAGGACAGTATAATGGTGAAACATAAGGGATAACCCCATTGAAATCAAATTACTCCAAGGTTTGCACTTTATATGCTTTATTTGTTAATCCATTCCAAGTGCCTAGAATCATATAAGTAATCAATAAATGTTTGTTGAATGGATGTGAATTAATGAATTTAAGGTAGTCACCCTTTTTCGTTTGAGGTCTGATATATCTTCTTATTTATTTACTTTTTTTTTTTTTTTGAGACGGAGTTTTTGCTCTTGTTTCCCAGGCTCTAGAGTGCAATGGCACAATCTTAGCTGACTGCAACCTCCACCTCTTGGGATCAAGTGGCTCTCCTCCCTCAGCCTTCCAAGTAGCTGGGATTACAGACATGCACCACTATACCCGGCTAAGTTTTTGTATTTAATGGAGATGGGGTTTTACCATGTTGGTTAGGCTGGTCTCCCAACTCCTGACCTCAGGTGTCCACCCACCTTGGCCTCCCAAAGTGCTGGGATTACAGGCATGAGCCACTGTGCCCGGCCTCTTTACATTGTATATTTCACAGCAAAGTTTAGAGTTTCTTTTATCTCCATGCGTTTCCTGTGTATGCCTACATTTTTGTGTAACTAGAAATAGAAATTTTTCTTTCATATTATAAAGTGGATTTATATAGGTGATACTGATAGCTGTATGTTTTGTAAAAGACCAATTTAAGTTGTTCATTAAAGTCAATAATTTTTCAGTTGATTTTCATGAGCTGTATATAACCAATAATCTGATTTGGGGTCTTCTGAAACTGCTTTCAAATAGATAGCCATTAGTCCCTAGGTAGCAAATTCCAATGGACAGTTTTCTATACTTATTTTACTCAGTAAGGTCTGATTTTGCATGTCCATAAGATTATGGACAATTTTTTCCCCTAATTATCATATTTCTAAAATTATCCCCCAAATGTGAGAGCATTATTTTTATAATCAAAATATTTTAAGAAACTAGTTGAATGGTCTCTAATATGGAACTATCAACATGTATCAAATACCACTCATTATAAGCAAATTCATCATGAAATTATATTGTTTTTGAAAAGGCGTTTTATGATTACATTTGTTATTTAAGAAAATGTTATTTAAAGAAATTTACATAAGTTTCATTATACATGTATTTTAGCTTACTCATCCCTGGAAACTGAAAACTTAGATATTAGGCAAGAGGGCTTTAGATTTTTTTATGAGATATTTAGTAGACCAGTACTAAGGTCTTAATATTTGTGTTTTTTGAAAATTTATGTTAAAATCCTAACCCTCCACAACTACCGTATTAGGAGGTAGGGCCTTTTGGAAGGTGACTGACTGGAGGGGGGTGCTGCACCTTCGTGAATGGAATTAGTGCCCTTATAAAAATGGAATCCAAGGGAACTTTTTGCCCCTTATACCCTGTGAGAACATGGTGAGAAGGCACCATCTATGAGCCAGAGAACAGATCCTCACCAAACACTGAATCTGCTGGTGCCTTGACCTTGGACTTTCTAGCCTCCAGAACTGTGAGAAACAAATTTCTGCTGTTTATAAGCCGCCTAGTTTATGGAATTTTTTTTTATTGTAGCAAAAATATACTAAGACAACCAATAAAGTTAAAATTACTATGCCTGTTTTACTTTATATTAAGTTCTAGCATACATTGTATAATGTTTAAAGGTAAGGTTAATTTAAATAAAACATGTTAGGATAATTGTAAAAATTATTATTATAGAAGTCGGTACAATTGTGGCTTTGGATAGAGGCAGCAGAAAGAAAAGAGCAAGGCATAAGTGGGAAGAATTGCTGTGGAGAATATTAAGAATACATAGACATAAAGAGGCCTACAGGTGTACAGCATTAATATTGGCCAATACTTGATTGGACAGTTTGAATTTTTCAACCTGAAAGGCCTTTAGTGTCCAAAGTTTGGTAAAGAGATTTTGTAAAAACAATAATAGCAATAAAAAATAATCAGAGAAGAATAAGAGATTTCATAAGGAGCAAGAATTTGTAGGTAATATTTCAAAGGTATAGATATGATTACTATTTTGGTGGATAATAAGCACATGGTAGACTGAAATTCGGCAGCAGTTACTGTGCAGATAAGCATATCTGTGATTATGGCTTATATCAGGTTGAGGACCCCTCCTGTAAGCCATTCTTTTTAGTACAGATTATTCTCCATTTCTCAATCACATTTCTGTTCTTTTCCTCTGTATGAAATATGAATTCTTTTTCAGGTTTTGATTGTATTTTGTGTTGTCATCCAACAGATTTCCACATTTCACTTTGTAAAATTTTTATAAATAGAGTTTGACACTTGAAGTCGACTTTTGAGTCTTCTATGATAGTTTGTGCAGAAGTCTGAGGTTTAATGTGATGACCTTATTCATACTGTAAAAATACATACTGCAGCAGTGTGCAGCCCAAATGGTCAATAAGCTTTGTAAATGAACTAGCTACATTTTGTTTTGATTTTAATTCTTGGTTTGAATTACTAAAAGCTATCTTGACCTTAGAAAAACGAAAGCTTACATGAAGGTTTAGCCACTTACAAAGTATTTCTGTGGGTCTCCAGTTAATATGAAACCTGACTTTTATTTACAAAAATAACAATATTTATGTTATGAGTACTTTATTAGGATCTTTTGAGGCCTTCCAAGAAGTTTTCTGTCAGTCATTATTAATGGTACTATTAAGAAGGTGGGCAGGAGTTAAAACTGAAAGGAGCCATCAGAGATAACTGAGCTTTGTTTAAGCCATTCAATTGTTACCCTATGCAGTGTCTTTTGTTTTTTAATTGATGCCAATCTTTAACAAGAGGGTCATAGAACATTCATTATACCAGGTTCTCTTGATAAAATGGAAGATTTGGCAACTACAGGTTTATGTTCTTGCATGTTTACAATAGACAGGTGCAGAAATTACCTGCTCTGAGTCCCTTTAGATGTGCATACTCTCTCCAATTTGCCACAGTTCCTGCCACTTCTCATTTCTCCTCTCTTTATTTGGCCCACATCATTGGGCCTACCTCACTAATTTCTATTAAATGTTTGTTGCTGGGGCCTTTAGTTTATGACCCCTGAGGCCAAGACAGCTGTTAAGAACTTGTATTATTAATGGCAAAATTCTACCTTTAAAATTACTTTTTAGGTTTTAGAAATCTCCCTTTTCTAACAAGAGGTATTATGGTAATCAAAAATTCAAAAGGATTCACGGTCATTTGAGATTCACGGTCTAGCCTTTGGGTTGGAGGGTGATAAAGTTATCTGGCGAAATATTTGAACTTCTGTTACCTTCCTCTTCTAAATGAATGGTAAAACGAATCCTGATTTGTTTAGGCAGTTTACTTATAAAGTTGGAAGAAATTTTTTTTTTTCTTTAAAGGATGGAGTCTAGCTCTGTTGCTCAGGCTGAAGTGCTGTGTATCTTGGCTCACTGTAGCCTCCACCTCCTGGGTTCAAGCAATTTTCCTGCCTCAGCCTCCTGGGAGCCACCCCACCTGGCTAATATTTCTATTTTTAGTAGTTTGGGGTTTCACGGTGTTGGCCAGACTGGTCTTGAACTCCTGACCTCAAATGAGCCGCCTGCCTCGGCCTCCCAAAGTGCTGGGATTATAGGTATGAGCCTGAGATTGGGAGAAATTTTCTCCATTTCTCTAAAACCAAAATTGGCAACCAGAGAGTATTTGGACATTACACAAAATATTTAGCTTTTCTTTCTAGCGTAAATTGGGTTGTTTATAGCACCCCACTCTCCATTTGAGGAAGACTGATTAGGATGCTTGTGCAGGGATGAGGCCTTATTAGAATAGAGAAGGTGCTCAAATAGTGGTTCAAACACAGGCTGGCTAATAAGCTGTGAGGTGACTTATCAAGAAACAACAACCCTTCACCTTCTGCTTTCAGCTTCTACTTTCTACTAGATGGTTTGGTCCAATCTTCCTGGTCTAACACCTGACTACATATAACAAACATCTGCGAAAGGTGGTGATTGTCAGGCCCATATGTTAAATAAAATGGAAATTCTAAAAGGTGAACTTGGGTCTGCTTTTGCTCTGGAGGAGGGATTTCTTAACCAAGAGGAAGCTGAAAACATGAGTTGTGTATTAATAGCCTTGGGAGACTAGAAGGACAAAAGTTAAAGTATAGGACCCCCAAGGTTGTGAGTCTGGTAAAATTCTTTGGTTAGAGACCCTGAAGGACAGCATCTTAGGGATAAGGGTAAAACAGAAGTAGACCATTCACATACAGTGTAGCTTAAAATCACATCATGTCCTTTGCAGGGACACGGGTGAAGCTGGAAACCATAATTCTCAGCAACGTAACACAGGGACAGTAAACCAAATACCACATGTTCTCACTCATAAATGGGAGTTGAACAATGAGAACACATGTACACAGGGAGGGAACATCACACACTGGGGCCTGTCGGGGTGAGGGGTAGGAGAAGGATAATAGAAATACCTAATGTAGATGACGTGTTAATGAGTACAGCAAACCACCATGGTACAGGTATACCTATGTAACAAACTTGTATGTTCTGCACATGTATCCCAGAACGTTAAAAAAAAAATCAAGATGGCTTAGAAAATTGTGAGATCTTGAAAATAAGCTAAGGTGACCTTAGATTCCTTTTGTTGTTGTTGTTGTTATTTTGGGGGACAGAGTTTTGCCCTGTTGCCCAGGCTGGAGTGCAGCGGTGGGATCTCGGCTCACTGCAACTTTTGCCTTACGGGTTCAAGTGATTCTCCTGCTTTAGCCTCCCAAGTAGCTGGAATTACAGGCGTATGCCACCACACCAGGCTAATTTTTGAGTTTTAGTAGAGACGAAGTTTCACCATGTTGGTTGGGCTGGACTTTAGATTTCTAATACCCCTAGGAACCTGAAAGATAACAAAACTGGAGGAAGAATGTTTTCCTAGGCCTCAAATTGTTTGGGTACTTTTTCCAATATGGTAACTTCACATACCCTGGACACAGGAGGAGAAAGACGGAATGAAAACTGGCAGAAATAGTAGACTCAAAGAGGCACCAAATAATTGCATTGTGAGATAGACTTTAGTATGTATACTGTATTCAAGGAGATAGATGGAAAATTTCCATACAGAATTGAAAACTATAAAAAAGTCACTGCAGATTTGTAAAAAAAAAAAAAGCCAAATATAAATTTGAAAATAGAAAAACTAAACAGTAAAAATTAAGAATTCCAAATGTATTAGTTATCTATTGCTGCATAACATATTGCTACAAACTTGTTGACTTAACACACGTTTATTATCTCATAGTTTTTGTTGGTCAGGAATCCAGGAATGGCTTAAGTGGGTTCTCTGCTTTAGGCTGCAGTCAAAGCATTGGTCTGGGCAGTCTCCTCTGGAGGCTTAGCTAGGGAAGGATCTGGTTCAGATTTATGTAGTTGCTAGCAGATTGTTTGACGGAGGACCTTAGTAGCTTCCTGGCTGTTGGATGAAAGCATTCTTCAGTTCCTTGTCCCATGGACCTCTCCATTAGGACAACTTACAGCATGACAGCTTGCCAGAGGGAACCTACAGAGCCCATAGAGCAAGTCTGCTAACAAGACAACTGAAGAGAGAATTACTGAACTGAAAGTGAGAATAAACATATTTAGAATTAATGTCTTTGTAAACTTTGACACCATTACTCTGCCATCACCAATAAGGGCGAATTGAAATATACCCATGCTGGGAAACAATGGAAGTAGTGTGGATAAAAGGATAAATAAGAATATATTTTAATTGAATATAGGAGCTTTGAAATAAGGACAGTATTAGGGAAAGAAATGGATTATTAAACTAGATATTTAGGAATCCTCTTCATACTTATTCAGGACACCAATGGGTACCCAATCTGGTACTGTTTTTACTGATCTTTGCACAATTTGCTGCTAGGCAGATATTTTCAATGCGGATTGGTGATATGTCAGTGGATAACCAGTAGAAGTGTATGTCTGTCTATTAATTACTATTCCATATAATATTTATCTTGTTTTTATTTTTTGCACAGGATTTTCAAGGTGCTCATATCATATTTATTTCTGAGTACTGTAAAGTTTTCTTTGAGAAATAGGTGTTTGTTTTTAAATTGCGTTGTCTCATGGGAGGGTAACATTTGTAAATGCACTTCAAATTAGTGTTGTTCCCTCTGCTTTCTTTTTTTCTGACTCAGAAACACAGTCCTTTGACTGCTCTGTGTCAGGGCCATGTTTTCCACAGACTTGAACCCAAGCCACCTTGAGTGTTCCCAGGCACTGATAAACTTGTTGGGTTGCTGCCTGAAACACCGAAACATCAAACAGTGCTAAACCTGGAAATACTAGCTCTGACACTGAATCCAATTTCTTAAGCCCCCATATAAACTCCAAATCCAGTTCCCCATATCTAGATTAGATGTCTCTTCCTGTCAATCATGAGGACGAATGCAGCAAACAATGTATATACTACTGATAAAGGCTTTGGACTTATCACTCCGTGTTTAGCGCTTCTTTCTTGGAAATCCCAACTGGTCCCATCTTAGGCTGTTCTGGGGTAATCTCTTGTGGGAACTCTCCTGCTATTGTCTGGTTTTGGGCCTTACTGCAGTTGTGGTTTTGGGCTGTCAGAACAAGC